GAAAAAGCTTCCGGAAGATGGGGGCCCAAAACGCGACACYCGAAACCAAGAAAACGAAACGGGGTTTGTACGGGGTTGGTACGATACAAGAGAAAAGGGGTACGAAGGATAGCACAGGTTCGGGAGGTAGTTCGTCACATATGTGACGCGCAGGGGGTTGCAAAATTATGTGATCTCCTGATTGCATGCCATGGCGGAGAAGAGGAGAGAGGGAGAGAAAACAAAGTGATGAATGAGGAACGAAGCGTATCATCAGACAATCCAGCCAGAGTCCATGCCAATCTTCAGTTGCAATCTTTTTGCTGGCTCGTGTTGTTGGAATCGTCGATGGTCGTCCAGGTGACGCCATTATCGTCCGCCGGTTCTCCATGTGGTCTGCACCTGAATCAGAGCGTAGGTTGACATCATCGTCGTTGGCGTGATCTTCGCGAAGCATACTGATTCGTGGCGCTTTCCCCTGCCGATCAGATGAAGAGAGGAGGGGGCGGGGGGAGATAGTCACGTGATCGGGATCTACCGCCTAGTTGAAATGGGCCAGTAGAGGCGGTACATAGAGGGGATCTCACGGAGACGGCGGGGAGGAAGTGGGGGTAGGTGGCGATTCATCCCTTCTACGTCACCGGAAGCTCCTCATATCGGATAATCCGGTGAAAACGAGGGAAGCAATCGCCACTATGAGGGAGAGAGGCGAGGTAGTCGCGGTAGAGGGAGGAGAGGGTGCGGAAGAGCGTGGCGCGAAAGAGATCGTAGTGGCGACAGGCGGGGATTCGTTCCCGTGGCTACGCAGTAGACTTCTACTACGTTGCACTGCTCCCACGCAACGCTGAACAACGGGATATGTAGTCAGAACGTGGGGGCAACGGGTTGAAGGGAGCGGTGAGGGTGGACGGTAGCGATTAGGCGTGTAGAGTAGAAATCGCGGAAGAGATGGGGATGGAAGGGGTGGTGGGGGAAGGTGACGGGGGTGTGGATCTGTTCGAGGGTGAGGTAATCAAGGGGACGACGGGATAACGTCCGAGGTCGAAGGCCTATCCCCTGCATCGGTACGTGGACGAACTGGGGGACGGGTGGGACTGGAGGGGGAGGAGGATCGGTTTCGTCTCCGCCGTGAGGTGCTGGTGGTGGCGGCTGCTGGGTCGCCGTCTTCGGGCTTCGGCGGCTCCGGATCCTTGGTCGGGTCGTCCCTTATGCGCAGGCTTGCTCCGGTGGCGAACTCTAGCAGGCGTTTTTCGGCGGCAATTTCCTCCCGCTTGCATGCTGCCTGAGGATCTTCCGCCTCAGTACCAGTACGCGTCGCCTCCTCCGGCAAGGCTTCCCACTTCGATCCGGTTCCTTCCTCTTCTTCTTCTTCTGTCTCCTCCTCCTCGCTCTATTCTCCCTCGCTGTCCTCGCTATAGCTTCCTTCCTTCGACGTTTCCTCGTCGTCGTCTTCTTCTTCGTCGTCGATCACCACTTCCTCCGCCTTCGGATAGAAGGCGGGATCGATGATGCTGTACGGCTTCAAATACTCCTGCCGCGACGGTAGAGAGTCTTCGTCCCAAGGCTCTTCCAAGCATGCACTCCACTGAAGATACGAGTCCAACGTTCGCGTGAGGACGTGCAGGGCAGGGCTGTCGTCGCTTTGCCAGATGATGTCGGGCAAGAGATCGTCCGCTAATTGGACGATAGGCGCGATAAGCTCCTGCACAATGAACTGGCGGCGGCCTGGTCGTACCGATCCAAAGAGAAAGCCGAGAAGATCGCCCTCTACGTTGGTCCTCCAAGCTTGTATGATCAGCAACTCCAAATTCTCGATCCATGTAGGATGCTCGCTGGTCTGCGTCCACGTCACCTGTACTCGGGTCAAGCACAAGGACAACTCATTAAAAGCCTCGCACTACAGTCGCCAATGCCCAGGACTAATGAGCGGGACAGAAAGGGGCTCGAACGAGAAGGAAAGAGAAGGATGAAGATCGGACTGCCAGAAGGTAGGGAAAAGAGAGGGGAGACCAAACATGGAGAGAGTAGCGAGAGGATCGGCGTGGTTCATTGGGGGCGTGGGAAAGGGACGAGGGTGGGGATCTGAACGCGCAGAGAGCGGCCGATCTCGCCAAAGTCCGGCGCAAAGGTCGGGAGGAGGTTGTGCCCTGGTCGGGCGAGGCCGTGCTGCCACACGTTGGACACCTGCTCCGTCCACTCCCGTAGCGAGGTCAAGATCGAGGTATGCCACCGTGGATTGACCGAACTGATATCGCCGCTGAAGGTCGCAACCGTGGTGACGTGGCTCGTTTCGGGAGCCGCTAGCCGATGAACTGCTATTACCTCCGCCAGCACTATTGCCTGTGAGCTTCCTTCAAATCGAAACGGGGCGGCAACACACACTCCCACGTCGCAGAAGAACTGCGCCAAACGTCGAAGATCCGTGTTCAGCCGTGGATGCCGAAGTTGCCGAATTTCCAAGATGTGGCCACGTGGCTGGAGCAGTTGATCATCTAGAGCTCACTCCGTGATGAAACTCATGGCGAGGACGGAGAGGAAGACGACGGGCAGGAGGGAGAGAGCGGAGAGAGAGTTAGATCGCCGTCGTTCTCCTCACCTTCGGAGGAGAGAGAGGGAGGAGGATGAGAGGGAGGAAGAGGACGAAGGTAGGAGGTATGCCGGACGATGGGGACAAAGCTATGGTTGGCACTAGTCTCAGGCGCGATGCGCACCGTGTTGGCGCCGTTGGGTCCGAGCTCGACAGCACGAAAACGACCAGAAAACTTGGGAGGGAGTTTCTGGTTGCGTGCACATTTTCGTACCTGCACTAGGTCCCCTAATTTATATTGATGATGGGGCCCAGCATTTCCATTCCGAGCCTCGTAGCTACAGACCTGCCTACTGTGGGCCAGATCAGTCATCCTTTGTCTTTTTCGGGTTAGCTTCGGGACGGCCCGTTCCATTAGGTGTACCTTTTGGCCTTGGCCTTGAGGGCTGCACGTGTCTCTACCCCCTGCTTCGGCAATTTTCGAGTTACCCCTGTAGTCGACACAGGGGAGGCTATTAGTACGAAGTTGAAAGGGGGTGACCCCCGTGGACTCATGAGAGGTGACCCGGTGGATCCCGACGATCTAATATGCGATCTCGCGGCACGGGCGAGTGTCGTGTGCCGCTTAATTCCTACGAAGGGTGGTTTTAATCATACGGTTGACATTCTTAGCCAACCCGTTCGACTGGGACACGTGGGGTGCCGTATGTCGGAGCGTGACGCCCCTTCGTGCGAGCAGTTCCTTTACTTCTCCTTTAAATCCGGATCCGTTGTCGATTAGGATTTCTTCCGTATCTAGGTGGGTATAGAGGAACCGTTCGATGTATGTGGCTATTTCTGCAACCTTTCGGGTTTTACAGGGATAGACCTGGATGTACTTAAAAAAATGTTTTATTAATACTAACAAGATAGAATATTCACAGCGGTTTGGGCCAGGTGGCACGTCGATATCTGTCGTGTCCATACTGACTCGCTGGAAGGGGCAAACTACTTCCGTTGGTACTATCGTGTTTGGTCCCCGTATTGGGGCGCGATCAGCAGCACAGACTAGAGAGTTGGCGACAATGTATCTGACATCATCTCGTATGTTGGACCAAAACCATCGGTTCTGGTCTATAGTTGCCTCCGTGACACGTACCGCGAAATGAGCGGCCTGTTCTTCGTAAGCCGATCGGATCCAATCATATCTCTGGAATGGATGGGGAACCGTCAACCACGAACCCGATCCGTCAGTTTTACGCTTCTTCAAATGACCGTTGATCCACCGATCGTCCCGAGACCTCTTGGTTGCCTTACATCTGTTGTGTTTGGTGAGGTGACCTAAGGATAATCCTCCTAATTTTGCCAATATAATTTTATTCGTCCAAACCTCCGCTCGTCGGTATTTTTTGTCGTATTCAAGACCGTCTGTACGGGCGGCTTCGAATCGAACCTCCGTGGGGAGTTTGTTCGTTCTACACAGGGGGCACCTCCATTCCTTGCTATTCGATCGATATCAAACGCAGACCCTGTGCGCACGATTGACAGACGTGGCACATTCTACCCAATCACCGAACCCGGTTTCGAAAGGATGACAGTCGACCCATAAACCCGTGCAATACAGGTACAAGAATAGCAGAACTTATCGGGGAGGGTGGCAAAGAAAGCTGATGAAGTGAGAGGGGCTGAATTAGTAGGAGAAGAAGGGGTTGCGGAAACAGGTGGGGTAGTCATGATGTCAGATAAGGAGAGATGGGGCTGTATTGCGAAGAGGGTGGATAAGACAAATTGGTCCTCGTGTCACTTACTGCTTTGACAAGATCTCCACTTGGCCGTACCGAGGCCCAATTTCCTGTTTGGGTTCGTTCCACGGAACCACCTCCTCACTCTTCGGAACTTTCTCAGGCCGGTGCAGTCGTGTCAATCCGTCCCCATTCCCATGTCTTTCGTGCTTCCGATGACAAATGTCAAAGTCCATGCTCTGCAGCACCGTTGCCCATTGCCCGATCATGCCGGAGTAATCCTTCGATTTCTTCAGAGCCAACAGGGGCTCCTGATCGGTCACCAAGGTGAACTTCCGCCCGTGCAAGTAAGCACGGAAGTGGCTGATTCCCCAGAGTGCCACGTAGCATTCCCCCGTTGGAGCGGCGTAGTTGCGCTTGCCGGCAGACACCGATTTGGACGCATACTCCACCACGCTCTCGAGTCCACTTGGTGCCACTTGGGCTAGGATCGCCGAAATTGCCTCTGACTGCCAGTCAGTAATGAGGATGAAAGGCTTTTCCGGATCCGGCCTTATAAGGACCGGAGCCGAAATGAGAGCGGCCTTGAGTTTCGAAAACGCCTGGTCACACTCCGGAGTCAAAATCAACAGCTGATCCTTTCGCTGCAAATTCGTGAGGGGTCCCGCGATCGCCGCGAAGCCCTTGATAAATCTTCGGTAGTATGAGGCCAGACCCAAAAAGTCGTGAACTGGCGTGACAGTCGTAGGCACTGCTGTATCCCTGACAGCTGCCACCTTCTGCGGTTCCGGTTGGAGTCCCTGGTCTGTTACCACGTGTCCCAGGAAAGAAATGGTGGTAAGGAAAAACTGACACTTCTCAAACGCCACCTTGAAGCCCGCATCTCGTAACGCATGTAGAGCCCATTCGATGTGCTACACGTGTCCCTTGTAAGAATACACCAGAATGTCATCCATGTACACAATCACGCAGTAGTTAATGATGCTCTGCGCCAAACGAGTCTTCCGCACGAAATTATGAAAAACCATATTCATGGCTCGCTTAAAAGGTCGCGGGGGCGTTGCAGATACCCATCAGACATCGAATCCACTGCCACGTACCTTCGAAAAGCACAAACGCCGTTTTCAGATGATCTTCTTCTTGGACAAGAAGATGATGGAATCCATGGCGAACATCGAACTGACTGAAAAATCGAGCACTCCCACTTGCATCCAACAACTCATCAATCCGGAGGAGGGGGTATACATCTTTGATCGTGATATCATTCAATTTTCGATAATCAATGCAAATGCGAATCCCTCCGGCCTTCTTAGGCACGATTACTACGGGAAATGACCAGGGACCTATAGCGGGTTCGATCCATCCATTAGCTTCGAACTCCTTAATCCGCTGAAAAGCGGCCGCTCTTTGAGCTAGCGAGTATCGGTAAGGAGTGCAGCTAATGGGCGGGTGTTCTCCCGTGAGGATGGCATGCTCGATCACGTTAGTCAAACCGATATCATTATCATGCACGCTCAACACCTCTGCATAACCGTTCAAAACATTGATTAGTGACTTTCGAAGTTCCGTGGGGACGTGGCTCAGTAGGGTGATCGTTGATTCCCCAGGAGTCTTAAGGGGTATGTCGATCCAATCAACCAACCGCTCCCTTCGATCGTAGACACTCGAAAAGACAGAACTGTTGGTGCGAACAGAGAAGACAATAGCAATCATCTGTGATTCGGCGGGGCTGATCATTTCAATTTCTTTGGTTTCGGCGTCAGTTTCAGAGTCAGTTGAAGTTTGTTCTACAGTCAATCTTGTTAGGTCCGTCATCTGCTGCGTTAAATCAGGCACGTCATCTACAAGTGTTTCTGCTTCCTGTTTAATCAGAGCGATGGTCACCCCTGTCGTTAATAACGATCTGGGCGGGAAAACAGAAACGTTTTGATACTTTTCCGTTGGTTGGTAACGTGTCCATAGAGAAAGTGCTCCTTCGTACGAAGTACGAGGGGGTTCCAAATCATCAGCCAGGTCAGATACTTGTAATATGGGTTCCTCGAGGAGGACTGAAGGACTGACCTGGGTTTTCGGAGGCGCAGGCGCGCTGTTTTTTGAATCCACGTGAAAGTTTTGGGCAGTGTCAGGACATACTTGAAATTCTTCGGGAGTTTCGTGTTCGAAAAGTTCGACCAGGTACTTCTATTCTTCCTCGCTTGGTAGTTCTTCTTCGTACTCCTGTTCCTCGATTCCGCTACCGATATCCGAGGAAGAATACTCATCGGGATCAGTGCATTGAATCATCCCTGTTATGGCTGAGTTAGGAGTTCGCTTTATTGTTAGAGTGGAAATTCGCAAGGGAACAGTTTAAGGCTTTCCCCCAGTTTGCGTGAGCACCAGTTGTTTTGAATTGAAATGCAGACGGTGCCCTACCGCCATCGCCCAAGGTAGTCCTAACAACAGAGAGTAGGAACGCACGTCGATTACTAGTGCGTTAACAAGGACGTGTACTCGTCCAACCGGTACAACCACATTCTCAAAAATGCCCACGATGTTCATTGCTTCCTCGTCGGCAGAGACATAATTGTCTTTGCCAGATTGAGGAAGAATGGATCCGAGTCGTCCCGTCTTTCTGACAGTGTCTAATGATATGGACACTGCAGAAGACCCTGTGTCTATAAGGGCGCTAAACGGCTTGCCCCAAACTTCACAATCACATTCTGCGTTTTTCCACAGTACGGGTCGAGCCCGTACGAAATGTTCCTTCTCTGCTAACGAGATCGCAGCTACTCGTGCTGCTTCAGGTTCACTCGTTTCAGGTTCTGGCGACGCGGCTTCCTCTTTTTCCTCCTCTTTTTTTTTTAACATTCGCTCTACGCGTTGGTACGTGAAGCGCTTTTGATTCTTCTGACATTATTGTAATAACTTGTCGATTGCAGTTTCAGATATGGTGAGCAATTGTCCCACTGGAATCGGTTGTTTGAGCGCTCGTAACGCATCGATTTCGCCCGTCTTAAACTGTGGTCCGGGATTAGAATCGCGATCGACCCATTCAAGATCATCCGGAGCCGATCGGATCGCCCCGATCATGCCCGCTAGATGAAGATATTCGAGTGAATCGACCACGTCAGCAGCGTCAGAGGAAGAAGCTCCCGATGTCGATACCGTTGCCATCGAGGGGGGAGACTGTTATGGGGCATAGGCCACGAGCTCTCCACCTTGAGCTGTATCCATCAATGCGGCCACTCGTCCTTGATTCAGGGTCACAGGGGTCGCAACAGGTGGGGGTTGATTACGTTTTGGTTGCGGACAGTCTCGGGCGAAATGCCCGGGCTGTTTGCATTTAAAACACTCGATCTTTCCTGCGGGATTAGTTGGGTGAGGGAACTGAGATGCGTATCCTGGTGCAGGCAGGGCAGGCAAGAGTGGAAATAACGAGGGGGCAGGCCGAGCAGGGGCCGGGTTAGGCTTGAGTAGCCTGCTTACTATCTGTTCTATCCGCTCCATGTGATCGGCCTGCATTTGGATCAAGTTGCTCATCCATTCGGACTGCTTGGTAGTGGCCGTATGGATCGTTTGGGCAAGATGTAAATTGGTTACGACCGGCGAGGGGGGTTCGTGGGAAATTCCGCTCTTAACAGCCGCTATCGGTTGACTCATTGGGGGAGAAGAAGCAGAAACAGGCGGGATATCGGAAGTCGTCTTGTCGGGAAGATCATGGTCGGGGTGGGGATAAAACCGTTCTACCGCTCGCAACCTTGATCGCCTTTTAGCCTCTACATCCTGTATGGTATATGTAATATCTTCGTCTCCCTGACTGATATATTTTTTGTATCAGCCAGGTGTAGTTCCATTGCCTTAGCGATGATAGCAGATAGCTGGTGTGTCTTCGGCGGGACTTTTTTCTGTAACTTCCCTTTCAACGTCGGGCTTCGTAGATGATCAACGAACAAATCTCGAGCAGACTTCTCGTCTCGCGCAGATTTGTCCAATGTGGTTTGAAATCTATCCACGAATGTATCGAATCGAGCCAATAAGGCTTGTTTGAAAGTATTCCAATCTACCCACGTATGCTTTCCAAACCAGTCATGTGACGTATTACGGAGTAGCAAGGTAAGAACGCGGGGAAGATCGCCTGCGCTGAAGACTTGAGCCTCGACGACTTCCAACCAATCTTCGGGGTGGGTATGGTTAGGGAAGAAGGGGAAAGAGGCATGTATGCTAATGATCACTTTGTGACCGTCTACCATTGGTATAGGCGGTATAGCCGCACCAGATATAGATCTGGTCACCGGATGATCTCGGCGAGTGGGTGGGGGACTTCTTCTACCTCTCGTGAGTTCGACTTACTGTCATCGGAACTGACACGTGTCGGCTCCGATACCAACCTCACGCTCTGTGCTGTCTTTCGTTCCGAGTGCTGGATGTGAGGAAAGAGGTCCAGAAAAACAACAAGATCGGGTGCGCCAAGGTTTTGTGGAAATTGAGTGTGGGGACACAGACGAAACTGAAATCCCCCGTGTTGGTCCGATGAAGTAAGCTAATCGTTTTTCGCGCGGCGCTGGTTGCGCGCGCAGAAGTTTAGCGCGAGAGGAGTGAAAAATACAAATTCAATCCAGAAAATATTGGCGGACTTCCCACCTGGCTACGGCCCGTCGTTTAGAACGGAAGGACTTCGGTACGCTTCGCGTGTCTCGCTTTCGTATCAAGTCCCGTCCTCGTTCACTGACCAGTTATGAATCCGACGTGGAGGGTCTTAATCGCGTGAATCTTTCTCTATGTTTGTCCTCACTCTGCACATGGTAGTGGAAATCCCTGGATTCGTAGCGCTCAAAGCGCTGACATTCGGTGCATAGGGTGCGTGGCCAATGGGGTTCTAGTGTTGTCCACGGGATGACGATCACCTCGTTGAATGGCAAGGATATCGAGTAAGGTGGAAAATGCGTATCGATAATGACAAACCCAACCTCTATAAACCCTGAACAAGGGTTTGTCGGAGGGAAGTAATATCGCCCGCCGATCTGTGCGACAACTTCTCGTACGTCCCACTCGCATACACGTGTTCTTTCCTCGTTGTAGGGAAAAGGTCGTGTTGATACGGGTGACGCCCGATCGAAGGGGGCTTGTCAGTCCACATGTCAATCAATCAAAAGAAAAAAAATACTCGCGCAATCACCAATCAATCCTTTTCGACACGAGAGGGAGAGAACACTCATCAGCTCGATCATGCATTTAACCGAGGTACCGACCCGCGAATCAGGTTTCCATAAGCCACCGCGGTGTTGATCCCATGCGCCTTATTTCTCGAGGCTGCCTTGTAGATCGGCTGCAGATGTCGTTCAGCATAAGGTAGATGGCATGCACAATGCACTCAGAACTGCAGATCTAAACACTCTTGCATTCTCGAACAAAATCCCATTGAGTGCGGGGTCCAATAAAAAAAAGACAAGCATCCCCATACAATCATTCACTGTGGAAGATGCGAAAATGACCAAGGTACACAAATCGGAAATCAACCGAGGGAACGGTACACACGCATCCACCGTTCACAAGACAAGACGATCATTTCCTCAGCATCTGGGGATTACCTAGGAAACTAATGGAAGAGTTCCGGAAGAAGTTCTTTCACGCAGGAGAGCACACATAGTCATTTCCATCCAAGAGAGAGAGAGTCAAACATCAAGATACATCATCATTTATTGACAAAGGGGAGAGAAGGAGATGAGGGAGAAGTGTCGAGATAGAGGACAACGAGATCCAAAAAGCGGAGGTTCGGTGTTGCTGCCGTGCACTCACACCAGAGATAAAAATCCACAACATCATAGGCACATTTGCCGTTAATTCCAATATGGCCCCGAGCCAATCACTCACTCAACTGCAATCAATCGGTCCTCGTGCCCACACCGACGATCCCGGCCGTTTTGTGCTCATTCCCACCACTGCGATCGTCACCCCGCCGACGTAAACTCGACACGGTTCGCCTAGATCCCATAGTCCGTCGTGGCGATCAAGCACGCAACCGGCCAGCCTATCGTCAGCCGGACGGGACTTTCCGATTCGCACCAAACACTCTGCCTAGCCACTGCTTCCCGGAAGCTGGCTTGGGAGTCGAGAACGTAAGAGAGATTTGCGGGCGCGCTTGCGAAATTTATAGCAGCGAGAAGGGAGACAAGAGAGGGAGAATGTAGGGGGAAAGTCGAAGTGTAAGAGGAGAAGCAGGAGGAGAAAACTTTGAGACGAGCGATTCATGGAAGCCATGTTGATCCTTCGGAACTCGGCAACTGGGCAATCAGCCTCGTCGCGCAGTAGGCAGATCCTACCGTACCACGCGTCTGATTGGTGGGTGAGAGTAATCGAAGGATTGACCGGACTTCATAAGCTTTGCTCGAAGGGCGAGAAAGAAAAGGCGCGAGAAGTAGCGCAAGACGGGTCCAAGATTCAGGTGATCAAGAAAGGGAAATGGGCGTGCAAAGAGTAGAGCGGGAGAGAGAGCGAGAGGGAAAAAAACAGTTACGAGGAGGGAGAAGGAGGAGGGGAAAGAAAAAGGAGCGCGGGAGAGAGGGATGCGGGGGACAGAGAGGAGAAAGCTTGCATGCGCGGCGCCGTCAACACAAACAAAGAAAAAGGCACCGAAACAGTTATTGAAATCACCATATCCTCGCGCGAAAGAGCGACGCGGGAAAAGAAAATCCTACGCTTATTCGCATCCCCACAAAATTCCGAAAGTTTTTCCCACCGTGACCAAGAACATTCACACACAAAAAGGACACGTCGAAGTTCCGCTTATCCCATAATTTCATCTGCCAGGCCGAAATCCCAGTGCACTCGCTTAGGCGCACGTAAGTTCCTATGTATTTCTTGAATTGCAAAAAGATTAGCAGAACCCGGGAATCGAAAAAGCTTCCGGAAGATGGTGGCCCAAAACGCGACACCCGAAATCAAGAAAACGAAACGGGGTTTTTACGGGGTTGGTATGTTCAAGAAAAAGGGGTACGAAGGATAGCACAAGTTCGAGAGGTAGTTCAGGCTGAGTGTAAACTGCCAGCTTTGACGTGTGAAAGATCGGGTGGACCGTCAAATGCGGGGGAATCTCAACGATGAAAGATGGACCCGCGGGGTCGTCGCCAGCTGTTGAAGTGACCATCCATGGTCCAAACCACTAAGGGAGGAGCTTGCGTGAGACGTCTTGCTCGAGCTCGAATTCCTCGGAGTTGACCCAAACTAGGTTGCTAGCGCGAATTGGACATGGGATGCGACGCCCGTTCACTTGCTGCTGCATACGAACCTGAGCCTTTTGCATGTTTGTGCGGGCTTTGCCCAACAGTTCCCTGTACTTTCGTGTAGAAGTGGGGGAGCAAGTGGCATCTATATCGGCAGCCGGTGAAAGCAAAATGTCTGCGAAGATACGTCCTTTTCGTCCACCATGGTGCAACTTGAAAGGAGTCACGCCAATCGCCGGGTGCACCGAAGTGTTATAGGCGAACTCGATGTCGAGCAGGCGATCAACCCAGTCCTTCTGATCCGGGCGGATGAGTGTGCGGAGCATCATTTGCGCAGCTTGATGCGCACGTTCCATTTGCATATTCGTTTGAAGATGCGGTGCGGAACTCAGTTCCACCATGACTGTCGTCCAAAAGGTCGACATGAAACGAGTATCACGGTCGGTGACGATGTCTTCCGGAACGTCGTGGCTGCAAAACCAGCCGGTATGCAAGAGTTGTGCGAGCTCGGGAGCCATCGCATGATACTTGCATGAAAGAAATCTAGCATACTTGCTCAAACAGTCAACGACCGTGAGAATACCATCATGACCAAGGCGATCGGGAGGGAAAGGACCGGTCACATCCATAGCAATGGAGACCTGGTGCCCGAGGAATCGACAATGGTTTCAGTTCGTCGTAAGGGAGCTGATGACGCCCTTTTTCCAGTGGTAAACGACACATGAGTGAATATACCGGTTGACGTCGCTGATGATGTCCGACCAGTGAAATCGCTGGCGGAGTCGTGCTAGTGTGCGTGCGACGCTGAGGTGTCCCGTCAACCGCGAATCATGGTATTCGCCAAGGAAACAAGATGCGGTCTTGGGGAACACACAACAAGTCCTTGCCTCATGCATGAAGAAGCAAGTACCGTCGACAATGCGATAGTTGCTTGCCAGCGGTTGGTCCGATGATAAGTCCGCATAGAGTGTGGAGAATCCCGGATCCGACTTGTAGCCATCTACGAAATGCTGTTGCAGGTTCTCGTCGAGGTCGAATGTGGAGTGCACCAAGGCGCAAAGATCAACTCTTCACGAGAGAGCATCCGCTGCCTTGTTCGAGGAACCCGAAATGTGCTTGGAGGTGAAGTCGAACTGGTCAATGAAGTACATCCATTGACCGACCGTGCTGCTCACTGTGTCTTGCGTCTCGTAGTACGTCAACGGATTGTTGTTCATTGCCCACGTGAATTGCCGAAGCCCGAGGAGAAAGTGACCCCAACGCTTAAGTACAGTGACAAAAGCTAGGAGTTCCTTCTTCCTCGCATCATCAAGAGTGTTGATGGGCGACACCTTTTGGCTGAAGTACTCAACCGGATTGCCAGTTTGTGCCGTCATGCTGTTCCAAAACCGCGCCAATGCCATAATCGGAAGCGTCCGTAGTCACTTTGGTGGGCAAAGTCAGGTTGTACATGCTTAAGACGGGAGCTTGAAGCAAAGCCGTCTTCAGCGTGTGAAACGCATGCCGGGCTTCGTTGTTGAACTCGAAAGGCACCAAGGGGGACTGCAGTCGCGACAATGGTGCACCGATACATTGAAATCCTTTGACGAAGCGCATGTAGTAGGATGCCAAGCCGAGAAAGGAGCGGACGTCGGTCGTACACTTGAGGTCCGACCAATCTTGAATGACTTGTATCTTGTCCGCGAACGGACGAATGCCGTGTGGCATGACGTAATGGCCCAAGTACTCCAGCTCTTGCAGGGCAAACTCGCACATGTCGCGGTTCGCCTTGTAGTGTGCCATACGAAGCCGCTCCAAAACGGCGCGAAGGTGCTCGAGATGCTCGTTTAGCGTCCGACTATAAACCAAGATGTCATTGAGGTAAATGAGCACGGTGTGGTCGAGTAAGTTGCAAAATTTCGTCGTCATAGCCGCTTGGAAAGTAGCCGGGGCATTGGTGAGACCGAAAGGCATGACGATCCACTCAAAATATCCATACCGCGTCTTGAAAGCGGTTTTGTACCGATCTCTTGCCCGGATCTCGATCTGGTGATATCCGGACTTGAGGTCAAGCTTTGAGAAGTACTTGGCGCCGCCGAGTCGCTCGAGAAGATCATCGATCCCAGGGAGAGGGCCGAGTCGATGCACAAATGAAGGTCCGTGTTCTTCTTTCGGACGAAGAGAACGAGAGCATTGTATGGCGAACAGCTAGGGCGAATCCAGCCCTTGGCCAAGAGGTCGTCTAGTTGTGCCTGAAGCACTTGAAGCTCCTCTTCGCTCGTGCGGTAGATACATCCGCTCGGAGGTACGGCGCCGTCCTCGAGAGTGATTCCGTGGCGTATGGGCCGATCCGGTATGACTCCGGCCGGAGCTTGAAAGACATCCTCATAGCTGTCCAACAGCTCAATGATGCTTGGGGTCCGACGTATCCGTCTTGGGCTGATCACCGGGTGGGAGGGCGTGGAGAAAACATACGCCCATCTCCTCGATGTCGTTCCGCCGGATGGATTGGCGAATGCTCGCCGTGGATACCATGTGACAACCAATCGAAGGATGAGGAAGCGGCACTGTCCACGGGACTAGTTCGTCACACCAATTATGAACGTGAACGGTGCGTCGATGGAAGTTCACCGAATGGTCTTCGCTTTGCAGCCACGACATGCCTAGGATATATCGAATTGGGTGTCCAATATGTCGAATGACACGGCCTCACATGCTAGTGGGGCAAAGTACACGGGCACCGAGTCAACGCATCGGTCGATAGACTTTTGCTTGTGACCATCGGCCAACGTGATGTGCGTAGGTTGACTTTCCTTCGAACGCGTGGGCCAAGCCCGACGTGTGCTATGAAGTCTTGGCTGGTGTAGTTGCGAGGCGCTCCACAATCGATCAAGGCACTGCAGGTCGTCTTTCCGATCTGAATGCGGATGTAGAGGAGCGGCGCGTTGTTGTCGACGTACCGTTGCGTTGCGTACTCGCGGTCGATCTTTGGAAGATAGTTACGAAGATCAACAACCGCTACTCCGCCCTCCGTCGACGGATGTGGTACTGCAGCGTGCAAGCATTCGAGTAGATGTGCCATTAAGGCATTTCAATGCGGAGTTGGCAAAGAACTGGTGGAGGAAAAAGGCAACCATTGGAAGTCCTCAACGGTGAACGGGTCGAGATCCTTAAGTCTCGTCCAAGTTGACGGGTCCTCCGATTGAAGGGCTGGCGAAGCAACCGGTTCGTTGTCCGACGGCGGAACTGCCGCTCATACGCTTGAATCTTGCACATGGAGAGGTTGGTTCAACGATGGGATTAACTCATAGTTCTCAAACTCAACGCGAGAACTTGCGACCACCGTGTCATCCCCGGATGTGAGAGAGACTGCTAGCAAGGCAGTTGACTCCGGCGGATTGGGAAGTGATGCCGCTTTACTTCCCGCGGCGCTCAGTTTCCCGAGCTTGAACGTTTGACATTCTCCTTGTCTTTGTCGAGGCAGGCACTGGTGATGTGTTTAATGTTGTTGCACCACAAACAACATAACCATTCCTGTCGCAACTTAAACATTTCTTCGGTGATGCCGAACTTCGTCCATGGTGCTTATCGTGCTCCATCCGCTGACGCTTCTTTTGCCTTCTGTCCCCCTCGGGGTTTCGTGCGTGGTAGTGGTATCGCTGCCGCCACATCTCCATCACTTGATGTTGAAGTCGATGCATGGTCCTCACTTGGTCCTTGTTGGACGACGGCTACATGCGGTGTTCGTTGACCTTTTCCTTTCTCCACGTAACCGGGCTGCGGACGAGCCTTGTTAGCCGCACGCCGGTTACCTTGTATAATTTCTTTAGCTTTGCCGATCATGTTGTCAAAGTTGTTATACTCGAATTCGCTGCCGAGAGCGGTTGTCAACGCGTCGCAAGATCAGGCGAAGAACTCGCCTCGGATTGCGTCGAACGGTAGGTTCAACTCCGGGGTGGCGACGAGTCTTTGCCACTCCGTCAGCCATTCCCGCGAAGGTTGCTGGCCTTGGAAGATGCGGAAGATCTTGTTCAAGGCGTGACGCTTGTCGTTGTTCACCATGAACCGGGTCTTCCACTTGTTTTCAAACTCCTCCCACGTGATCTTCATGTGGAGGGTGGCGATGGTACATTCGAGCGTGACAACCATGTGCATCATGAATGCTTGTGCCCCGCCTATAAGTTGGAGGTATAATGCGTCCATCCACCGTAGGGGCGGAGTGTGGTGTACGTCGGCCTCTGCGTTGAACGCCATCCACCATTGCAACGGATCGGTCTTGTGATAGTCGTCGAACTTTTCGATCTTGAAGTTCGGCATCTTCCATTCCTTGGCGGCAGCGGCCGGTCGCTGGTCGACGTGGTCGCTGAGCATGTGCAGCTGATTCAATTTGCTGACTCTCGACGCTCCAGCAAACTTGTTGATGTCGCCGAGGGATGCGACTAAATGATTGATCCGCTCCTCGAGTTGCTTGGCCTGTGCGGCCAAAGCTGGGCTGCAGTCTACTGCTGCACTGCCTGTTGACGCAACTGAGGACAGTAATGCCAACCTCATGCTGACGTCGGTCCGCAAATGGGTGTTGAGTATCTGTTGTTGGTTGTTGGCGGCATGTATGGTGTTGTTCTCGGCCTGCAGGGACGCGATTCTCTTGTCCGTTGCCTTGAGTGTTGTTTCATGGCGGATAAGGACCTGCCGTGTGGCGAGCAGCTCATGTTGCTGCCAATTGCACATGTACAACAAATTCTCCATCAGAACTGTTGTCCCTTCCTTGTCTCTTTCTTCCTTGGTTGGCGGTTCTTGTTCTTCGGTCTCTTGTAAATGTTGTCGTCGAAGTAGCCTTGCATACATGGCTTCGTCGCAAGCACGGTCCATCGTGGCTTGGTAACGAGCCTGGTTCTGATCTGCCTCGACCTGCTGCTGTTGCAACCTTGCGGCTGTTGCAGCTTCTGTTGCGGCCCGCTGACGTGTTGCTGCTGCCTGTGCCTGTTGGCGTTGTATTTCCTGCTGGCGGGCGGCTTCCTCTTTTTCCCACTTGCGTAGTTCACTTGTCGTCGTCTCCGAATACTGCTGGATTTGGTCGAGGAACGCTAGGAGTGGTTCATCGGCCTGTTGAACTGGAAGAGGAGGGGTAACCAACCTCTTGGGGCTGGCTGGTGCACCGTTGTGAGAGGTCGCAGCCATGGTCGTGAGTGGCCTGCACGGAATCCGAGGGGCCCTAAGTCCCTGTTGAGGCTTGGCTCCTGCGGATCTGTGTTCGGCCAGTCGTTGGCTGTGGCGCATCAAGATGTGTCACTGTTGAGGTGGCGCTTGCTGAGGTGGCACTCCGCTAACGTGTCACTGCTGAGGTGGCACTTCTGCTGACGTGTCCCTGTTGTGGTGGCACTCTGCTTAAGTGTCCAGATGCTGGCAACCATATACCGAGAGGAGAAAAAAAGGTTGGGTGGGGAGGAGGAACAGAGAGGCAAGCAATGCACAGACAGTCCCGTTCTCCCCTAACCTCGAAGTCAAACACTAATCAAAGAAAAAACTTCCCCCCCCCCGACGAATTTTTGAATTTTGGGAAACGAAATAAAATTTTAATCGAAAAATAGGAATTAATAAAATTTTAATTTCGGCCAAAGATTAAATACTTGATTAACGAATAATTACATTCGTAATAATGAATTTCACAAACGTTAAATATTTAATCAAGAATATTTAAATTTGCACCAATAAAAGAAATGAATAAGTTTAAGCAAGTTTAAACATTTAGACATAACTTTCAAAAATTTTCATGAAATTTCGTCGGAAGCATTTAGCATCATCACGAGGTCACTCATTTAGAAGATGAATGGTATCAGGAAGATACACAATTTGCTGGAAAGATTTAACCTTTCAAACGCAAAAAAGATGATAGGTCGTTTAGATTAGGTTAGGACTAACCCTAATTAGCGCTAATTAGGTTACTCGTAATTAGTGATTCCCTAATTGCGCAATATTGAGAAAAATCGCAAAACCTAAAATTGAACAACTGAATGCTATGAAAGTACGAAAGAAAAGAAAAAAAAAATTGCAACTTGTGATTTAATGATAACAGAGTGCAGGTATAGATAATCAATCAATCAATCAATCAATCAATCAATTAATAGTGAGTCATCCAATGCTGGTCTGCTCCGATACCAAACTGTTGCATACTCGTGAAACACAGTCAGAAGTATGACGCAGTTTTCCAGAACCGACCAGATAATACAGATTTGATACAAATGCAAGTGGAAGACTTGAGATACCTTGGACTGACTCAGATCTGACTCGGATTGCAATCGAACACTCTCGAACATTCATCAGGGGTGCGAATGCCCTGGCCTCATATATAGACGAAGGGCCAAGGACGGAGATCATCCACGGACGAAGGGGGGAGAGGAGAGAGGCCACGAAGAGGAGAGGGAAGATGACGTCAACTCAATGTTCCCAAATATAGTATCTTGAATTGCGAGAAGTGACGAACATCCGAAATGTCGCGAATGCAAGGTCTCACAATATCCCAGATATCGATCTCACAATGTCAAGTACATCTCCGGAAGGAAGATAGCCCTCAACTCGTAGTCCCAATATCGTTGTCTCAAATGTCATCAGAATTCGTAACCATCTCCCATACTATTATAGTCCTATAGGGGAAGTTGAAGTAGACTTAGAAGGTAGGGAGAGAGAGGGAGAGAGAAGCGGTAGAGGAGAGGAGGGAGAGAAGGCGAAGCCTTCCTCCCAGGTACCTCGCTATGGCGCCAGAAGGGGTTGGGCCAGTAATTGGCGCTGCGCTAATCTCCTCGCTGATGAACTCTTGCTCGCTCGCTGCTCCTCACTGTGCTGCAGCGCTGCGCTAATCGAGCTAACGCTGGGCGGCTGCGCTTATCCTAAAGACACTTCGTCCATACTAACCTACCTCACTGAGGCTGGTACCCAGCCTTTGTAGTGCTGGGCCGACCTCTTGCCTACTGGTACCTACGGGCCTGGACCGTTGATCGGATCA